AAAGATGGACATCTCAATTGCAGACTTAGTTGTGCTTTCATCACCCCAAACATCACTACCATATACAATAATGGGTCTTATCAGTTTGTCAAATAAAGATAGTTGGAGGGGTATGTTTAGTGAGTTGTCATAACTGAGTTAATATGAAAACTTTGGTGAGATAACTTGGTGAGAATCTTTACCTTTGCAGCTTGGCTAAACATAACAGAGAATTGTAATGTTGTAATGGACTTTCTCCTGAAAGATGCGGCGCTATGACAACTGACATCATGTAGGGCAACTGATACTCATCCCGAATACATTCACAAATATGGGCACCCAGACCTGAAAACACAAAATCAATATTTCATGCTAAGTGTCAATGTTTTTCTTAGCACATCGATTTCTGAAGCCATCTCATTCATCATGGGCTATCGATGAAGACGTTGTGTTATCAATGTAAATTTTCTGGTACTTAGAAATAAGAGAAGCTAGTGCTTAAAATTGACTAATTAATATGCAAATTAGGTCATTAATTTCAACAAAAAACTTATCAAATCTGAGCATTATCCTAGAGTATCTATGTACCAAGTTTCAATGAAATCAGTATACATGTAATAGTACGTGAGAAACAAGTGAAAATGTTTAAAATGTTTTGATTAATATGCAAATGAGGTAATTTATATACACCAAAAGAATTCAGGTTTGCTTATTATCCCAGAGCATCTATGTATCAAGTTTCATTATAATCTGTTGAATAGTACTGAAAAGCTAATAAAAATGCATAAAATTGGTTTATTAATATGCAAACAGGATTTCAACTAAAATCTAATCACATCTGAGCATTATCCAAGAGCATCTATGCAAATTTCCATTAACAGTGGGACAGACAGATGGAGGGACACACACACACACACACACACCCACACCCACCCACCCATGTGTTGAACGGTGTCAACTGTGGACATTGTTTTTACTATATACCAACCAACCAAGGACATAAACACCAACCGAGTACCTCATAGTCCTTGGTTAACATAATTTATATTAATAGTTAATTCGATTATTAATATGTTTTGCGTAGCTTAGGTTTAGTAAACAGGGGGAAGGTATGGTACAGTTTATATTAATATAATTTTACCATACCTTCCCCCTTTACCTAAGCTTTGCAAACATTTCTATGTTCAGACTAGGGATATTCAACTTTTATTCAATTGAACGTTGAATTGTATTGTAATTGAGTTTAATTAAACTCCAATTAAAACGCAACCCTATATAGGAACATGTTTTAATCGAGTTCATGTTGCAGCTTTATCAAAAGTTAATTCAACTATTAAAAGTTAATCAAATGAAGTCCTTGGGTCACACAAAATACTAGAATGGGTGCACTAACTGCAAAAACTCCCCTTGAGTGCTTCACACACAGGAGTAAAAAACATTTGATCTATACATGTAAGTAGCACAGAGCTGTGTCCATGGTCAAAATAACTTATACTTTAATTAATGATACAGCATATAAGTAAATGCAATTTTTGGTTTGTACATTAAAGTTTCGTTTTTTCATGAGACAAGTACTCGTAATGATTCCAAATTGCATTACATTGTAGCCAAGAATAAAATAAGGGCTTACTTGCGAGAAAAGCTTGGTTACATTTTTAACAATGGCGACCATACATTTGTGTATTTGTATTGACATCTCCTCATCTAACAAATTTGTGCACAATGTCATAAAGTGACAAGTCATTGTCAATGACACGTCCCCGTTCCGTTCATATTTGAGTAACATATACATTCAAAGCAGATCATGACCGAAATGCACCTGCATATGTACAACACATTGTGCTAAATCTGAACAAAATCCATCCATGCATGACTGAGATCCGGTTCTGGAATTGTGAAAATACGTGATTTTGATGCATTTTCGGCCTTAAAATGGCCATCATTTCGCTATTGTTAAGCAGATCATGAAACAAAGGCACATATCTATTTGTGACATGATGTACC